CCCACACACACACACACACACACACACACCCAAACAAAACAAAGCAAACAGCTTCAATCATTTCCACGCAACATCACTCAAGACCAAATGTGCTGTGCTATGGGTAAGATAATACTCTAAAGATTAAAGTATAAATGTACACAAGAACATAGTTTGGAAACAGTCATTTTTATCTTAGGGCTCCTCCATGGATGAGACTGCATCTCTCTGAGTACACCTAAACATCATCGACATTAATCCGAATCTGACTACTGTGGATTAACTTGAGCATTAATGAGAACCTGCAGGGTTTAGCACATAATTGCATTAAACTTGTGGAATTTTCTGTTGAAGTTGTCAACAATTAATATCTTACTTGTTGTATTCTTCTTTAAACAATCTCAGCTTGGAAGAACAGAAGTTTTTTCGACTGGATTAATAAATTAAATTTCTAGTTCAAACGAGGCCCCGAACAAAGTAAACTGTTGTCATCTCAAAAGAGTTTCAATCTCCAAATCATCAGTGATTCATGCAAACTCCATTTTATAAACCTTTATGTACTTGTCAGGTTGACACAGTTTTGCTGTGTTCATTTGTATTCAGAAGTCTAAGTGTTTATGTACAAGTTGGAAAAATAAACTCCAAGGCCACTCCTGAAAGTGGAAATTTGATTGAAAATGTCCTGATTACCTCAAAACCTCACAAGGCTGCATTATACATAAAAGTTCATGATAGTCGTAAGTTGTTTATTTATTTTAATTTTAGGCAGTTCGTATCTTCTTAATTCATTCACACGCTTACAGAAGTATCCTGATGCATGCTCAGAAGTATTGTTATTTGGAGACATGTTGCTACGGTGTTTGAACGCTTGTGTTGCTGATCATAATTAGCCTCGTTACTGAGCACACAAATGAGAAAATCCGTTGATTTTCCAACTCACATCTGCGAGACAAGTTTTAACATCAGAGGTGAACAGATCACAGCTGCACAGCAGCAGCTAGCTGTAGCACTTCTGCTTCACTAATTTGTTGGAATAACCATGCAACGTAAAACAGATGTTAAAATGTTTGCATGAACTTTTATAAAACTTCTCAGACTTGTTTTTTATTAGCCTCACTCAGACTAGCCGTTAGCTTGTGACTCCAGACAGAATTTTACTCCGTTTGTCCAAACTAAAGCCGCTCAAAGAGCTATCTGCAGCAGGTTAGATATTTATTGTTCATGACTTCTCCACAAAATTCAAAAGCTTCAAAAGCTCTGAGACATCCCATCAAGAAAAACACGAACGAGCTTCAGGTCTCATGTGCTACACCCACAGAAGAAACAGCTTTGTTTTAGTACATATTTTTGTTATAAATTAAAATAAAAATCCAGATTTTTAGATGTGCCTGAGTGTGCTAACGTTAGCATTTAATAGCACAGGCCTCAATGCTGAAAAACACCAGAGCCTAGCATCAGCCTGGATGAACACACGGGGTAAATAGGAGTTTTGTCAGGACACAGAAAAAATACTTTTATCTTCTCTAAAATACACATTTAATCACGTCATTAAATAACATAAAACATGTCTGCTTTCAGCTGAACTATGTTGTTGTGCTCCACACATCTGGAAACTGCTGCTCAGTCTGACTTTCATGTGAATTAGAGAAAATCTGAGCAACAAGGACCAGACCTGGTTCTCTGATCTGAATCAATCTGTTGTACTTCACGTCTCAGATACGACAAACATGTCTGCCCTTTCTAGACTCTGAAGAACTCATTTCTGGTGGAGGATGAAGTTTTCAGAGAGCCTTTTTTCTCGTCTCCACAAAGGCCCTCTCTGGTCACCATGGGGACAGTGTCTTTCATGATGCTGTTGCCATGGAGCCCCGTGAGACGCTGCACCTCGGGTGCTTTTCATTTTCTGTCTTTGATATCAGCATCGCCTCCTCATTCATGATGCTGACAGCAATCTGGAACCGGGCCTCCTGACCTGTCCAGTATTAGGGTCCCTCAGTCAGGTGACCCGGGTCCAGTTTGAACTGGTTGGTGCTGGAGGTACAGAGGTTTGCTCCATTATGCCACAAATTACCCCCTCCTCGCTCCAGTGACTGTGTAACTGTTATCCCCCTTTTGTGAGGATAAGCCCCAATGTGAGGCGCCGGCTGAGGCTGAGCTGGGGGGGCGAACTCTGGAACCTGCTGGCGTGGGGAGTTTTTGGGTCCCCGACCCACCCAGAGTGCTGACAGCGTCACTATGGTGCAAAGTGCAAACTAAGGGCTTTGAGGGAGCGTCCGAGGGCAAAGGGACACACAGACACAAAATATCAGCTTTACTTTTAAAAGAGGTGCAGATGTTGACCAGTGTTGAACAGCTGGGGCTGATGGGAGGATGTTTGGAGCAGCGTGTGCTTCAGACAGACTCACAGGGAGCTGCAGAGCCTCACACACAAACATCTGGAACACAAACATCTGGATAATTAGGAGCTCTTGAAACATTGGTGTCATAGCAGGAGCATGGAGGGAAAAGGATGCTCCCAGAATCACCACACAAGTTGCTCGCCACTGAAAATGAAAGGTGATCGTTTTTTGTTTGTCTGTTAGCAAAATATCTCACAAACTACTCGACAAGTTTTAATGAAACTTTCCGAAAGCAATCAACGGATGCACGTCTACAGCTGATTAACTTTTACAGTCAGTCCAGTTCAAGATGGCTGCCATAGCTAAGCGATTTTAACAAACATAAAAATGGCTCTAACCTAATCAAATTTACAGACCTTTAGCTAAAATCTGGTGTGGTAGTAGCTGAGACTGGTTCACAACACGTGCTCCAAGTCGTGCTCATTGCAGCACCTTTGTCCACTTCTCCTTTCGGCTGCTCCCTTCTTTAGGGGTCACCACAGCGCATGAAGTCACACAAAGTCTTGACGATTGTTTTTACGCTGGATGTCCTTCTTGATATCACCGAGCTACCACAGCCCTTTGTGTGGAGCAGAGAGCTGCAAACTAGGGCACTCGAGGGAGCAGATGGTGGGGGTTAAGGGCCTTGCTCAAGGGCCCAGAGCAGGGCAAGTGAGGGTCCTTCACCTTTCCCACTCATTCTTTATGTTGTCGGTACCGGGAGTTGAACCAGCGATCTTCTGATCACAGGCTCACCTTCTCCAACCTCTGCGCCACCACTCCCCAAGACACATTAAAAGATTAAAACAAAAACAAAAAAACAAGATAAAAACCTGCCGGGACTCAAAGGAAGTGATTCGGCCATATTTTATTTTGAAAGGACTATAAGGTGGAACCTACGGTCTCAGGTGAGCTCAGCCTCGTTCATCTGTGTGTGGTGAAATATTTTAAGAAGAATCTAGAAAACAACTAATTCCAACAGTAATTCTGCTTTAAATGCAGATTCCTTTTACAGACGTAGACGAACCTGAATCCAGGTGAAAATTCCTTCTGCTCGTCCATTTTTAGGCATCACGTCAACACTTAGTAAAACAACTCAAAACTGGACAAATGAGTGAAACTCTTAAAAAAAGTCATCATTAGATGAACTTCTACAACTATTAACTTTTAGTTCATTGAAGATGGCCGCCCCAGCTACTCAACTTTGTTTTTAGAACCACCTCCACCACTTCAGCTGATTTAGTCAGGTGTGAATGCACATTAATGTTGCGCTAAGTGCTAATCATTAAGTTTAAAGAAAAAATAAATCTTCATTTTTATGCCAGTCACCATGAGTAGAAAATTATTGGAGTACTTCATTGGAACCAAAACCTGAAAGTCCTCGTAAACTCAGACAAAATGTCATTTCTGGTTAATTTTCCGTTGATGGGAGCGCCGGAGGAAGTCGTAACATTTGGGGTTACAGACATGAGAAATTAATTAATGTAAAAAATACTCGTCTGCAAAACAAATAGTCTCTACAAGATGTTTTTATTCAACTCACAGTACATTCTACAGATGCACACGCGTTACATCACCGTAATACGACAGACTCTTGTAATACCTCCTCTTAAAAACCATGAATTGGCCCTAAAAAATATAAAGGATGAAATTTAAAGTCACCAAAAACTGTACATTATTAAAAATTCACTTTAACACCACATTTGGTCGTCGTCTTTATTTTTTCTCCTTTTTTTAATTTTAATTTTTATGAACACCAACAACAACAAAAATAAAATAAAAACAAAGCAAAGAAAAGTAGTTCAGTGTAAGAAGCGAGTTTAAATAAAATCCAGACTGGAGTCGTCCCGTCACCTTCGTAGCACACGTCAAACGTTGGCCACAGCTCAGGAATCATACGGAGGAATGTGAGGCGGAAACGAGTCCGCTGCTTCATCGTGGGCGACGCTCCTTTTAAAGTTAAAAAGATTTCAGTCGACTGCAGCCGCCTTTGTTTTCATCTGGCCAGCTGTTTTAGTTTAAACCCTTCCAGCAGCACATCGTTGTGTCTGACGTTTTAAAACAAGCGGAGCGTGAGAATCGTCGCCGCGTGTCCAGAATATTTACAGAAGTGCCCTTTAGGTGGTCCAGATCAGAAGCTGAACATCTGCTTTTCACAGGAAATCCAACACTAAAGATCTTTAACGTTTGAAACCAGTGTCTTCTCGCAGCAGCAGGTGGGAGAAACATAAAAGAGTGTGTGTGTGTGTGTGTGACTTTAAGTGGAGGTTATACAACATCTACATGTGACGGTCCAACAGGTTCCTGTAAGTGTGACTGGCCGTTCTCATAAATTGTCTAAACATCTCTATAGAACATCTGTACACATTCACTACAAGCTATTGCTATTAAATAATCCCAGCTAGTGTAGTCTTTGTTTATATTTATATATAGAATATTTAATAAAAAATATACTGAGCCGAAAAATTACTTCTAGGCAGAAGAACACACACGACGTTTCCACTGAACGGGTGAGAGGCGGGTCCGAGTGCTGCGGCGGGTTTGGACCCTTTTTGTGGCGCTGAGGAGGTCCTGGCTGCAGGAAGGTGATCAGTCTGACCGTTGGCGTGAGTGTGAGAGCTAAAATACTCGAGGCCACGTCCGCGGGGACCGACCGGAGACCTCGCCGTGGCAGGTGAGCGCAAACAGGGAATGAGGTGAAGACGAGGAGACAAGGAAGGCTGAAGGTGACGATGGACACGTTCTCACTCTGAAACAGGAATGGCCTTTAGAAAAGATTCGACCGGGTGAGGAAACGATAACAGACAAAGAGCCAGAAGTCTATACATATAAACCTATACATGAGATAATACACGAGGCTGGAACGAGCTCCAGGCAGTCTCAGCGGTAATGGAGAGTGTGTGTGAGACGGGGACAGCACCAACAGTAAGTCTGGAGCCCCGCCCCCTTCGTGGCGGTCGCTGCAGGATCCTATTTGTCCTTGTTTGAGTAGAACTCCGCCCAGCGGCTCTCAAAGAAACGCCTCATCGAGTGTCCGGCCATCCCCACCTCCGACGTGTCCTCGTTGAAGAGCTCGCAGTTGTTGAAGACCAGCTGAGCGTCCGCGGCGAACTCCTCACAGCTGCAGTACCTGAGACAGGACGGAGGAGAAGACCGGAGTGACAACAAGGAAAACGAGAAATAAAGAAAACGTTGCTCCGAGGGAAGAACTGCCGATAGGCAAAAACTAAAATCAAAACAGACGAAGAGGAAATAAACTAAAAAGAAACTAGCGCTCTTTGAAAGAATGCACATGTAAAATAAGATGTCACATGATGCGTTAGCCCTCAGAGTAGGTTTTAGGGAGGACCCTCAGCTACAAGCACAACAAAAACAAGCTCAGTATCTGTCAAATGTAGTTCAAGCCTGAGTTGGTACAAATCTTCTTCAACGAGATCGACTCCAGAAGTTAATCATCACATCTGATGATTACTTTGAGTTTCATTCACATCTGTTCACTGGTTCATGAGATATTTTGCTAACAGACGAGGCAATTACATGATCGCTTGCCTTTCATGGTGCTAGACAATAAGTACAGGAAAAAAATAAAAATAAAAACTTAACTTGACTTTAATGCTTCAAATTCTTTAAAATCGTGGAACATTTGGATTAGATACAATCATCTGATTACAGAATAAATTTTAAAAAATCATAATCTTGATGTCATCTTTATTAAATTACCATAATATTTTAGCATTATTTTTTTCATATTTTTTATTACTGCTACATTCTAAGCTATAGTTATAGTATACAGTTTATGTAAAGTAATGAACTTCTGTATTTTCTATTACAAAGTGATGATTTAAAAAGGGCATTGCAGTAAGTTTAAAGTTTATGTACTTTAATTATTTTTGTGGGATTAACTCTTTAATCTAAGTTTCATCTGTATGGAGATTTTTTTCTCTTGTTGACACGAACGTGTTGGAAATTATTTTGTTTGTTACCGTTGATTTTTTTTTTCCTCCAAAGCACACATCTGTATGAAAACCATCAACGGACACTTTCAAATGTAAAAGTGGAACATTTTGTACACGCACTTTTACATTTTACTTTGTTTTAATTCAAAGTGAAATAAAAAGCCGAGCTAAAAGCTAACGGTGATTTTGTTTCTCTTACGCTCCCTGCAGCAGCCGTTCCCTCATGGTGAGGAAGTCCATGGGGTTCTTGATGATGCGGCGGTAGCCCGGCACCTGTCGTGGGTTGACGGGTTCAAGGAACGGCCAGGCGTCTGCATGAGCCTCCATCTCCATCAGAATGATCCTGGAGGGAAATCAAGCACAAAGGGTTAATAATAATAATAATAATAATAATAATAATAATAATAATAACTAGAGGAACGGCATTTCCTGTGAAAATGCAGTGTGAATGCTTATTGCTGAAAAACAGCTGAAATTAGCTAAAAACATACTGAAATGGAAGAACAAGCCCAAGTTATCATAAGAAAGCAGAAAAAAAACATATTTGCTGAATTAGGTTTAAATAAACAGAAATTAACCCATAAATAAGGAAATTAGTTTAAAAAAGCTGAAATTACCAAAAAAATAAACAAACAAACAAAAAAAAACCCAGCTGAACAGTAGCTGAAAAAGCATAAAGAAGCTTAAACTATCAGAAGGAAATGGAATGAGCTGAAATTATCTAAAAAAATGTGGAATTAGATTAAAAAAAATAATAATTAGCATGAAACAGCTAAATAGTAGCTGAAATAGCAGAAAAAGTTGGATAGAGAATAAAAAGCTGAAGTTAGAAAGAAGCAGTTGATTAAGTTGAAAGTAGCAGAAATAACCACCAAACACTTGAATTTCTCTTAAAACAGCTAAAGATTAGCTGCAATGTGGTTGAAAAGGTAGAACAAGCTTAAATTAGCAGAAGAAAGCAGAAAGAACACACTTTGCCCATTTAGGTTGAAAAAATTAGAAGTGAGCACAAATAAGTGGAAATTATCTGAAAAAAAAAAATGCAGAAATTATAAATCAGCTCAAAAGTATCTAAAAATGCAGAAAGAAGCTTGAGGTACCAGAAGGAAGTGGAGAACACAAGTTTTGCAGAATTAGGCTGAAAAAATTTGAAATGCACTAGAAAATGTGGAATTAGCTGAAAAAGCTACAATTAGCATAAAAACAGCTAAAGAGTAGCAGAAATCTAAAAAAAAAAAAAAAAAAAAAGGCTGAAAGTTGCAGAAATAAACCGAAAGGAGTAAAACCAGCTGAAACTATCAGAAATAAGTTGGAAGAAGCACAAAAAATGTTGCAGTTAGCAGAAAGAACCTGAAAGGATCACAGAACAGCTGAAAGTAGCTGGAAAAAGTTTAAATTTGCACAAGGAAGCTGAAAGAAGCCGAAGCAGAACAAAATGTGAAAGGAGCAGTAAAAGGTTGTAAACAGATCTAAAGATCTGAAGGATGAAAATGTTCAATTCATTTTCTATGAGGAAAGATACGACAGAAAAGGCTAAATATTTCAAACAGCTAAAGTTGCACCAATCCCAAGAGTCACAGCAGGATTGTCCTGAAAGAGCTGAACGTTTTGATTTTTGATTTGTTGAAATAGCACAAAAATTGTGGAACGAGAACGATGCAGAAAAATGGATCACAGTGTGAACGCTTCGTGAAGTTTCACACAAGAACTCAGAACGTTTGCATCAGAGCAGGAAAACCCCTGTTGTATAAGATTTGATACGATGACATCATTGTGTGTGTGGAAGTCTAAAGAGATGAACTCACTCGCAGAAGGTGAGGTCGGGCTGGTTGCGTGTCGTCATGCGTCGTCGTTTAGTGCCGCCTCCTTCTCCGGAGTAACGGGAGGAGGATGACGATGATGTTGATGATGATGAAGGAGCGGCGGTCTCTTTGTGTCGCGTCGCCATGCCACCGCTGCGTCGTCTCGATGCCTCGTCATCGGAGCTGTTGTCTTCGTACCTTCTCTTCTTCACCCTGGAGCGCTTTTTGGACGCGCTCTGAGTTTCGCCTCCCTCCTTCGCAGAAACAGAGCAGTGAGCGAAAAGTTTGCACAAACGCGATTCTTCGACCTGAGCAGCCAGACGAGGCTCTGACCTTAGAGACGCAGGCTGGACAGAACCAGTCTCCCTCTGGCACCTGGGTGATTTTTGGCCGCAGGCAGTACATGTGGCAGCCGCGATCGCAGCCGTCGCAGAGCAGCAGGCACTCGTCGTTGTCTCCCTTCTTACAAACCTGACAGGTCTTTGAGAACACAGAAGGCAGCAGAGGTTGATACAGCTCTGAGCTCGCTGTGTGAAACAACAGCTGAACCGTTACTGACAGACTTCCTACCACTTTAGTAACGGATCTCTCCCACGCGATGGCCTTTTCCAGCTGAAGCAAGCAGAGGCAGAGCTGGGGAGCACTGCGGCAGCGGTCCAGAGCCTGCCGCCACGTTCGGAGCCGAGAGGTGATTTCACTCTCCAGACTGGAACGTACGAAGGTTGAACAAGTTTAAACATAAAGAAAGAAACACCTGTTTCTCCTGTAGCTGTCCTCCTCACCTGAACACGTCCATCGGGTGCTCCTCTCCAGGTGTGGGGGTGAGGGGAGCCAGACGCATCACCTCCGCTGGGTTCCAGAGCGGCTCCTTCAGGTAGCGCCTCTCGATGTTCCTCTCCAGGTTGGCGAGCCGCAAGATGGCCAGGTCCAGCGGGTGTGTGGCGATGCGAGGCAGGCCGGACCACTCCTTCTTGGTTCGCACGATCCAGTCGTCCCGCGGGTCGACGTCGTGCTCGTAGTACTGAAGGTCGTCGCGGGTGGAGTCGGGGTCTGGGATTGTGTAGGGCTGAAACAACACGAAGGAGAACTTATCGACCGCGTCTGGACATGTCAGCTTCCCCTTTCAGATCCGTTAAAAGATTACCTGAAATTCAGGCATCGGTGTTTCTGTGCTCATCTCTGCCTCGTTGATCGCCCCCTGAGGAAGGGCCTTAAAGAAACGTTGAAAATAAACTTTAAAACATCGTTCAACTTGAAAACACATAAACAGAGTTTGACTTCAGATACTCGTGAAACAGATCTCTGGGACAGTTTATAAGAAAGTGAATTCTCTCTCAACCTTCATATGTAAATCGGCAGCAACGACCCGCTGCTCCAGGCCCTCCACCCACTGCAGGGCGCTGACATCCGTCTCCATGGCTTTCTCCTGCACCTGCCAGGGCTGCTGCAGCGCCTCCAGCAGCACGTCCTTCTCGTCTGGCTTCAACTCGAACAGTGGATCTAGATGACGACGACACGGGAGGTTCAGAATGGGTAAGGCTGGACGTGCTCAAAACGGGTGTGGTTCACTCACCTTGGATGGGGGAGGTGCACATCTCCACTAAGCTCTCCATGTGTTTTGCTAAATGCTTATGTAGCACCTTCTCTCTGATGCCCCGCGGGTGCAGGGACTGTAAAGTGCCATAGAGTTCGTCCGGATCTTTAATCCACCACCACCCACGCACCATCGCTGTAAACCAAACGGAAGGATTCGGTTTCAGATCAATGAAAAGGAGAATGGATCGATCTGTGAGCTTGAAATCAGGAGCTACTTACATGCAGGTATGGGCTTGACCACCAGCTGTGTGAAGAACTGCTGCTCCAGCTCCTGGAAGGCAGAGTTGGGTGGGCGGCCGCGGCGTTTGGCGGCGGCCCCTCGAGATCCTCTGCGGGCGGGGCTGCTGCCTCTGCTGCCTCGCCTGCGCCTGCGGCCCGGCCTGACGGGGGTGGCGGGAGTAGCAGGAGGAGGAGGAGGAATGGGAACTGGCGGAGTCTGAGAGGCTGCGGGAGGAGCACCCTCAGGTGCAGCACCTGTGTGGCTGATGTCCGGTGGTGCTGCAGGAACCACGAGGTCAGCAGGAACCAGGCTCGGCAACAGTGGGTCCGGCTGAGGAGAGAAGATTTTAATCACATCACGCTCAAACGTTTTACAGGTGAATCGTGTTTCTGCAGACAAACCTGCATGAGTGGAGCAGCGAGTGCCGGGAGAGCACTCAGCACCTGCGGCAGCAGTTTGGGGGGTGAGCTCGGCGAGGTGGCCACCTGGGGCTCTGTCAGAGAGTCGTCGTCACACGGCTGTTTGGGGAGCAGATTGAACCACTGTCCCTGTTTCTCTGCCAGCTCCTTCACCGTCTCCTCGGGAGGATTACCAGTCGGACCGTCCCCTGCTGTCGAGCACACCCCGTTGGTCGCCGCCTCCTGTGATTGGCTGAGCCAGTTCTTGAAGGCTGCTTGAGTGAGGTCCAACAAGCCACCGCTCGGTGACCCCGGACCGTCCTCTCCCACAGACCTGATGCTACTACGACGCCGGCGGCGGATCTTGGCTGTGCGGAGGTGCAGCTCGACTTCAGGCTTGATCTTTCGAGGGCGCCCGCGGCCTCGCTGCGTGCTCATGAGGGATGCGGTGCCAGGGAGGGGGTCCTCCTCTGGAGGGAGGGTCTTGGCCGGTGCCGGTGTGGCCGAAGATGGAGAAGAAGACAGTGGGGGTGGGGGTGGGGTCGGTGTAGGAGCCTCTTCAACTTTGGGCTCCCTTTTAAGGAAGGTCACAGGAACCTCAGCAACGAGGACATCACCTGAAGCTGCAAGACAAAAAGAAAATGCTGCTTTTATAATAATGGTATGGTATAAAGTTTATTAATTTTAAAAAATACAAAACAATTTCATAACAATATAAAAAATACAAGAGATTTAAAATGAAAGGCAGCAGAAGAAGAAAAAAATATTATATCTGCCCCTTTTTTTCCACACAATTAGTTCAATCACAATAATTTTCAAGTAACAGAACAAAATGAATAACTTTTTTTAATTTTTCTAATTCTAATACAAAACACACTTTAAGCTACTTCATATATATATTTTTTTAACAATCCAGTTTTGATCTTTTTCTTAAATGTACACATTGACTTGGCATTTTTTACATCACTCTCTAGACCATTCCACAATCCAACTCCTTGGATTGAGGTAGACCTTCCCTTCAGACTAGTTCTCAATTTTGGTTTGACAAATATTTCTATCCCCTTAAGATTGTAACAACTTTGCCTTTTAACAAAATTTCTTTGGATATTTAATGGTAATGTGTTATTTTGAGCCCTATACATAACTGATAAAATACTGAAATCTACCAAATCATGGAACTTCAATAACTTCAGTTGATGAAATAATGTGCTTGATGGGTGACTGTAATGCTTTCTGGTGATAATTCTTACAGCTCTTTTCTGTCAAATAAAAATAGGTTTTGTAAATGTTTTACACTCTTTCCCCCAAACATCAGTGCAATAGATTAAATGTGGAACAATGATTGTGTTATACAACAAGTACAGGGCTTTATCATTTAATAATTCCCTGACTTTGTATAGTACTGCAATAGATTTAGATATTTTTGTTCTTACAGAATTTGTGATTTTTCCATGTGAGCTGTTCATCAATGATTACACCCAAAAATTTCATCTCATTAACTCTACAAATCTCAACACCCTCAATTTTAAATGGATCATCAACAGTTTTCTTTTTGTTACTAAATATCATGTAATTAGTTTTATCTAAATTTAATGATAATTTATTAAGTTTAAACCAAGTTTGTATTTTATCAAATTCTGTCTTCATCAGTTCCAACATCCGTTTTACATCTTTACCCAAACAAAAAAATGTGGTGTCATCTGCAAAAAGGACACATTTGAGGAGTCCTGATACATTCACTAAGTCATTCACATATAAAATAAATAACTTTGGTCCAAGTACAGAGCCTTGAGGAACTCCACACGTGATATTGCATAATAATAAGTTGAGAGTGTGGTAAGTTTAAAAATGTTTTCACTCCCAAACTCACTCAGTAGCTCTTCAGGTCCTTCTACCAGAATCCCTCCCAGGTGAGGCAGAGCCAAGTATCTGCGACGGTACCGGTCCTGACCAAGCGTTATGATCCGCATGGAATGAGACGACTGTAGCAGCTTTCGACGGAAAAGCGCTTGGCGCTGTAAACGATCAAAGTAAAAAACACATTTAATACAAAGTATATCTTTATATAAAGTATATATATATATATATATATATTTAAAGTACCGTATTTTCCACCGTACATGTCTCACCACCCTGTAAGTCGCATCAGTCCAAATATGTCTAATAAAGTGGAAAAATCCATAAATACGTCGCATCTATTATGCGTCAGCGCTGAAGTGTGGTGTTGTGCCAAAAATCAATTGGTTGCCAAATGGAGGCCGTGGGAGCGTGCATGAGAACTTTAACAAGAACTTAAGATTAACATTAAAAACAATTATTTGTTTGCTCAACATTATAGTAAATGTATCTTAGTTGAATTTAATAAACGCACTTCATTGGTCAATCAGCTGCATTTCACCGGGGCGGCGCCGTGAAATGCAGCTGATTTGATGTTTGCTCCAGGTGAGCTGGACGAAGGAGGCAGGCTAAGGCAAGTAGATTGTGTCATTAATAGCCACTTTTACTTATTACATGACACAATGGCATGCCACACCACTCGAGTGCCATCTAGCAGCTGAAAATGGTAGTGGTCTATATTTTCAGTCAGAATGAATGAAAGCGTCAGCTCAGCCAAAAATTAGCTTATAAAGCTGGGAAAAAAATCCATAAATACGTTGCTTCGGTGTAGAAGTCGCAGGGCATGCAAATTATGCAAAAAACTTCAACTTATAGGGCGAAAAATACGGTACTGTGTGTGAGTTGCATCAGCCTTACTTTGGTTAGTTTGTCAATGTGTTTTTCAAGTTCAGGAATGCTGGCGTTGGTCAAACTTTCACTCTGCAGGAAAGAAAATGAGAATGAGCTGCAGGAAGAACCAAACTGTAACTCTGAAACACTCGAGGGGTCACACACCTCACTGAGCTTGGACTCTTCTTTGCGTGCACGCAGCTTTCCTCTCTCCAGGATCTCCTCCAAACTGTGGTTCTCTTCTTCAGCTACTCTGGCGCTGCGTCTCCTCTCCTCAAAGCACAGCTCCTCCTCGGAGCGCCCTGTGCGACGTGATAGCGCCGCCTTAAGCCTGGCAGGGAGAATACAGCCAGAGTCATTGTCTGAAATCTGGGAAATTATCTGGAATCTGAAGGGGGGGGGGGGGGGGGGCATACTTGCGTAGTTTTCCCTCGATGATCCACTTGTTCTTCCTGTAGGTCGTCATGTTTTCTAATGTGTTGTCAATGTTGCTAAAATTAAATTAAAAAAAAGTCACAAATGTTGCAAAGTGCAAACTATTGAGATGTAAGGACGATACGAGCTTCTGAGCCTCACTTTGTCACAATGTTGCTGCTGTTCAGCTCCTCCACCAGGTAACCCAGGATGGCTGCCTTGGTGTCCGGAGGCAGGACGTGGAAGGTTTTGGTCCTCAGTGTGTTGCAAACTTCCGTCTCATAACCGTGGGATTCCAGGTAAATACGGAGGGCTTCTGAGACGGTGCTGCGGGTCAGCTCCAAGTCCACCAGCTTCTCTCCAAGAATCTTCACCGACTGTAGTATCAGAGGGGGGAGCATTTACATTTATGATGTTTATCAACACCAACTGTTGATTTACTAACGTTAACACTGAAACGTGATCACACACCTGATAATAAGACGGCAGGCCTGGATCCTGCAGAACTGCCTCCACCAGCTTTATGAGGAGGTCCTGGACCTCTCCTTGGCTGTGGCCCAGACCGAGCAGACCTTCCTGCAGAGTAGCGAGGCTGGGAACGTCCTTGGGTACGTCAAGACCAACTATTTTTCCGTAACCGTGCAGGAACTCGACCACAGCCAGACAGTGAGCAAACGCTGTTCCAGAGAGAACCAGGCCGGGGACGTGGGACAGCTCGGGCATCGGCTGGTGGAGGGAAAGTTCCCGGGAAATCAACACATTTATACCATTTTTAACAGACAACAATGAGTTGTGTGTAACTGAAAGCTCACTTTGTGATCGGTGAGACACATGTCCTCTGTGGGCTTCTTCAGCTCCTCTGTGATCAGCTGCTGCCTCTTCCGCTCCTCCAGACGTCTCTGGGCCTGAGCTCGTCGCTCTGCTGCTCTTTTTGCTGCCAGAGCGGCCTGAGCTGCCGCCTCTGCCTCCGCCTGGGCTTTAGCCAGGGCCTTGGCTTTGCTCCGAGCGCTCACCGCCCGGTTACTCTGGACCACCCTCTCTGCAGACGCCTGCTGGACGGGTGAGGCGGCTTCACTTTTCACCGACCTCCTGCGACCGGGCTTTTTCAGCTCTGCCGTCGACTCTAAGCCTGGGACCTGTGGGGCTGCGGTGTCTGTTGGTTCTGTCTTTACCTCCTGGAGTTGGACGTCTAACTCGAGCTAAAGCCCACAAAGAAATGAACAAACAAACAAACTTGGATGTAAACAAGAAATGAAGCTGAGGACATTGAAGCAAATTATTTTAGAGCTTCGGCTGTTAAGATTTCCCTGAACCTTGGCTCTCTTTTTCTCCTCGTTCATCTTCTTGATCTTTAAATCCTCTCTTCTCTTCATTCTTGCCTGAAACAATGAATAAATAAAATAAGTGTAAGATGTGAATAGAGTATTTGTCACTAAAACCAGTCTGACATACCTTTTTTTTCATTTTCTTTTTGATTTTGGCCAGTTTCTCCTTGTCCTCCTCTGTAAGAGTTTCTGTCAGAGCAGGACACCGAGCAGCAGTCAGCTGAACGCCAAACGACGAAACAAATCTTCAAACCGACATGAACTCACCCTTGGCTTGGAGTCGTTTTAGCAGCTTGGCATCAACTTTACTGAGGAGGTCGACCGTCTTGATTTTAGGAGGTCTACCAGGGCGGCGAGCCTGCCCCCTCTTCAAGCCTCGAACCGTGGGAGGTTTTTCTTTGTCTGGGTTCGGAGGTCGACCGCGCCGCCCAGTGATGGCCATGATCATAGAGGGAACTTCCTCGTTAGCCAAAAGAACCCAGTTTGTGCCCTGTAACACAACAGGAACACAAAATCTATTTTAGTCACCAGAAGGCATTTGAAACAAATCTTGGCTAAAACACAAGAATAACTCAATGGGTTTTTGATCAAAACCCTTCAGAGTGAAACTTCCAAACAGAAGAAAAGAGTTTTCAGACCTCTGATGTTTCTCTTTCTTCATAGAAGTCTCCAACAGGCATGCGTGGACTGAAGCTGAAGTGTTCTCTGGTGACCACGCCGTCCGAGTGTCTCTTCAGGTACTGGGAGACAAAAAACAGTCTGCGTTATGACTCCATAATCACAGACTACAGATTAGTTTACAAAGGCTTTCAGGGTGTGTGATCCACCTTGATGACTTCTGGAAACTGCTTCATCCTCCTTCCACAAGGAGTGTAATACCAGGTCTCCCCCTTCATGCGGTTCTCGATTTTCTTCACACGGATCTCCCTCTTCCAGCTACACATAAGGCAGAAATATTTGTGTTTATAAGATTACTTTAGGGCCTTCTACGTTCTTTTTATAGATGAAAAAAGCTCATAAAAAATAAAAAAAGATATTACATTTCTTTTAAACGAATATATGCCTTCATAATTTTTGTTCTACTCTTCTTTAAAATATAGCTTTTTCATTGAACGTGGAGCTAAACACTCTTCACTTTCAACATTTATTGTTTGTTTCAGAGACTAGATCAATGTAAAAGGTTAATTATTTAGTTATAATTGCAGAAATAAAACAGATTCCTGAAGCCTTGAACAACTATTACCGATGGAAACAGTTAGTTACCCGTGCTGCAGAGGGAACTGGACCTGTTCTTCTGTTGCGACCCTTCGTCTGTTCGTTTCTCCTGTTAGATGAACACAAACAGGCTCAGAAACAAACCACGATATTCATTAGCACCGAGTCCATACAAAAACAATATAAACCAGCATCATCACCTGCAGTGGAGCTGTCGTCATCGTTCTCATCGACGTTATCAGCAGATGTTCTGGCGTCTTGTTTCTGTGCGGTCTCTGCGTTTCCCGCTTGAACTCGTTTTTTGACCCTCCTTCTCTTCTTGGGTTTCTCGACGGCTGTGCTGATGATGGAGGCGTTGGCCAGGACGGCTTCGATCGCAGCCGTTATCGGATCGACTTCCTGCGCGAGAGAACCAGCCTCCCCCGACACGCCGGCTGTTTCTTGATCATGGACCTGGAGAGATGGCTTCCTCTTTCTGCCTCGGGCTCGCCTCTCTTGGGCTCCTCCCTCGTCGTCTGCCTTTATTTTCTCCGCTTTTGGCGTTCTAACTCGTGGCCTCCGCTGGGACTTCTCTGGAGCTAAAAAAACAACAAAAAAAAGTTTTAGTTCAAACTTAATATTGCTTTAAGAGCATATAAAACGAGTTCAAATAGGACTTTTACAAACCTGTGGTTTTAATCAGTATAACCTTTGAAACTCGAGGTCTGCGTGGTTTCCCTGGGGTCACGGTCGGCTCAGAAACTGCTTGATGGGGGTGTTCAGTGGAGCTGTCTGCTGGGGTACTGAAGGCCACACATTTCTCTTCTTTAATCTTATAAAATGGGGGTGCTGTCTCTTTAGTGGTGGTCTTAATAATAATGCGTTTAATGGAGTCTGGGGTATCGTGTCCACTTTGCTCCCGCTTTGCTTCAGGACCTGTCAGAACCACAACAAACCGTCTCAGAAGAGTGGGACTAAGAACACAACAAGTTATCTTTCTTTACAGCTCCATGTATTTGGAGAACGTTCTCTCGTTATAAAATAACTAAACAAAGTGTTGCATCTAAGAAAAAATTAAAAATTGCACCTTGATGGACTGGTTGAGGTGACACAAATGAGTGGGACACACCACTTGAGAGGACAGGAGGCTCCTCGGTCTGAGAGATGTTTAAAGAGGACTCCAGCATGGAGCCTCCTGTAAGTTGGCTGCTGTTGCCCGTCCTCTCCGACTCAGATGGTTCCCCCTCCCTGGTCAAGTCCAACGTGTCGTCTCTGGACTCGTCCACAGAAAAGCTGCTCTCTCTAGTGCTGTTACAGGAAGTGCTGTCAAGTTGAGACGTGTCAAACTGAGTGGAGTCACCTAAAAATAAGCTATCTCCACTTAAAAGAGAGGTCTTCTCCAAGACAGAGCTCATATTTAATCTAGAGGGGGTGTCGCAGGTTGAACTGTCTTTGTAATAAAAGGCAGCATGAGAGTTGTCAAAGCTTTGTTCATCGCTCACACATGGCAGCCTCGAGGATTTTACAGGTGAAGCCGACTCTCCAGAGGAGTCGTCTGCCTCTGAGACGACACTGATCTTCACGTGGTGCTTCTCAGAAACCGGTGGCGTGTTCTTCAGATTTGTACCGGGGTTATCTGTGGTTTGTGAGGGTTTTCCTGGGAGATCAGGGAGGGGTTTGTACGAGCAGGTTTCTGATGTCTTAGCGTCAGTCGGTTCGACCTGTGATGTTCTTATTACGCCTGAATCAAGCTGAGGGACGTGTTCCTCTGCTTTTTCATTTCTTTTATGTTCCACCATTTTCCTGTCCTTGCAGAGACCGTGATGCTCCAACTTGGGGGACGACTGCATCTGCACAGGAGGAGTGATGGCGTTTAGAAGATGCTGTTTGAAGTCAGAGCTGTGGACAGCTCTAGAAGACTTGATTACGACCGGAGGCACGGACACCAAGGCAGGAGGGTTGGACATGGGTGCAGTCCTGGAGGCTTGAGTGGTTCGAGGAGGTAGGGTAAACAGAGGTCGGACTGTTGGGATGTCTTGGGTTGCACAGCGGGGTGAGGCTACCAACCCTGGTGGTGCTGATGCTGCAGAAGCAGCCGAAAGACCTGCACTAAAACCTGGAGGGGTGAACGTCTGACACCAGGACGCTGGTGCAGGTTCAGAAACTTTACTGCCGGCTGAAGGAGTCAGCGATGCAGGAGATGCTGAAGTCGGTAAACAGGAGCCAGGTAATGTTGAAGATCCAGATTTAGACATCGGAGGGGGAGCCACGCGAAGAGATGTGAAATTTGTACTCACTGATGAAGTTGTAGGTATTAATCTTGGGGGAGCAGGTTTTTCACGAGGCCCTCCAGGTGCATCAGGGAAGCAAGGTACCTTGGACCCATGGACCATGTGTTTCTCTGGAGATGTTACAGGTGCAGCGTAAGAAGAGATAGAGACTAAGGCAGGAGGACAAATAGTTCTAGATGGTCCAGAGGCTGTAGGAGGCAGTACTGACTTTGCCTGACGAGCTGAAGACTCGGATGAAGAGGAAACTGAGGGACTTGAAGAACCTGCTGCAAGTCTAGAACTGCTCTCAGTCGAAGCAAGAGATGTTGACAGCTTTGAAGGAGCCACAGGCAGGGAAGAAGAGGCTTCCTCTGGCAGATACTTGGGTGTATCTGGGAATACTTCAGGTGCAAAAGTGGAAGGTCTGAGGGCTTGTACTGTCAGAGGAGGTGAAGAAAGTCTGGAAGAAGCAACTGCAGATGGAGCAAAGGACATCTTGTGAGGTCCTGACATTTGTGGAGGCATCGGCTCAACGTCACAGGATGAAACGACAGGTGCAGATGTGGGAGATCCAGACAAAGCAGAGACCCCCGATGGTGTGGAGGCTTTTGTTAGAGACACCGAGGTTCCTACTTTTGACGCAGAGAGAGGAGATGATGCACACGGGGGACGTGAGACAAAAGAATCTCTGACGGGGGAGGTCATTCCTGGACGTGGAGCTGCTGGCTGATCTGAGCAAAGACGATGATCACTTTGAGGACTCACATGGACAGAGGGGGCTTTAGGTTGATAACTGTCCGGTTTTGGAGACCTCTGGGCAACAAGTGCCCTTTCATTGCCATTATAGCTTGTGTCAGTCTCTTTGATGGATTCCCTCGAATGGCCTAAAAAAAGATTCACAAAGTCAAAACTATTCTTAAAAAACCCTCAAGTACAATAAAAATAACGGTAACAAATGATTATTGTATTCATTACAACTGATACCATAATTGGATGAAAACAATAAAGTTAAAGACCCAGCATTTGTTCACAAAACGTATATCACCTGCATTCTTTTATGCCAGTTTTAGACTAAGATCATCTCATGTTGAGAAGAGTTGTAGCCGTTGTAAAACCTTAAAATTACTGATATGCAGAATCCCATGCAATACTGCAAGAGCTCACACTCAAAAGTGTGTGTTACTGTTAGGCTGCCTTCAGGCTCAGGCCTCCCATGCAAGAGATCTGTGATCTCAATGGGATTTGCCTGGATAAATAAAGGTTAATAAATAAATAACCTCTCAGCAACTACCACACAATTTTAGATATCTATATAAGTGAATTATAGTCATTTTTGTTTTTTTAAATGTGAGTTAGCTGTTGTGGGCATCTTAAATTGCACAAACTCCAAAAGTTAATCAGTGGTAGATGCATCTTTGATGATAGTTTTCTTGGAAGTTTAGTTAAAATTTGTCCAGCTGTTCACGAGATACTTTGCTTACAGACAGACATAATAAAACACGCTTAGATGGGCAAAAAATTTTAATGCCTGCCTTCACCTTTCAGCAGCAGGAGGTAAATATTCAGCAGGCCTGGCTGCCACTGACAAACCCTTTGGATGATTATTTTCAGATAGATAGACGGTGAAACAGCGACACCTGCTGGTCGAAGTTTGTAACACTCAGCAACAAAGTTCATGCTCAATCCAGGTATCTAATCCAATAATTCTCAGCACTGACTAAATACTGGACGTGAAAGTGCCATTTAACTATGGTATGTCCTGATGCATGCTCAATAATACAGGGAGATAAATGTAACAAGGTTGAGTCAGGGCCTCTAGACAGATTCTTCTTTGTTGAAATGTTTAATATTTCTCTGAAGAGCTGCAACCAACTCAGTCTTATCAGCAGCACTGTGTCATAGTGGGTCGACCACTTTGATGGTGCCAGCGAAAACTAGTTGTTCACATGCAAAATGATGAAACATGTAATTTAGATGTAATTTAACAGCCTGTATTATTATTGTTGTTTAGACGTCACAACTGAAATACTGTTGTGTAAAACAAAAAATGTGCAACATTAGAAAAACGTATTTTCAACAAGCTCATCAGCAGAAATGGCCACAACAAATATGACTGGGGAGAAATAAAACCATATGACTGGCATGCATGACTCAAGTTCTGGCATTAAAAGCAGGAAATGGGATGTAGAATAGCACGATCCGACTTATCAGGAAGTCAGGATCCGCAATGAAACAATGTCAAAATGAAGAACTAACCACTTTATGGCACAACTGTAACAGTCTGTGCCGTTTCAAAAACAGAGAAAACAAGAATTAAAATGAGGGAAAAACAAACGTTACCGTGGACTGGAGAAGACATCCCCACACTGGTGACATGGGGGCTCCGTTCCCTGGTGTGACTCTTGGGTGATCCGCTATCTTGTACTGATGGTGATTTGATTGGTGTTGGCGACATCCCTGCGGGCAGAGGACTGCTGGTGCTCCCTCTGCCAACACTGTGGTGCTGTGGGCTGCCATGTGGAGGAGTCAAATTCTGGGCAGTTAGGGGCATCATCTGAGCCTGTCCTTGAGGCTGAGACTGCTGTGTTGACTGATGCTGTGGAGATGGCGTGGATGGGCGATGGGACTGATGCTGATAGAGGGGCATTCTGTTCGGCAACAGGCCATAATGCTGCGGTTGCTGGTGCGGCTGACGGTGGGAATGGAGGGGCTGCTGTGACAGCTGCTGGTGATGCTGCGATGGTGTGACACCAGAATGTGCCTGACTCTGGTAGCTGCCATACAAGCTGTGGGAATCGTAGCTCATCTGTTGCGTGCTGGGGTTACTTCTGCTCCAGTACTGGTTCCCCGTCAGAGGAATGTTGGCTGAGCCTGTTACAGGGGGCTGGCGGGAGCTTTCGACAGCCCCGTTCAGCTGGTACTGTCCCTGACCCTGGAAGAGGTGCTGTGACTGAGGCTGCGCCATCCCAGGTGTAGGCTGCTTCTGGTGCAGCCCATGCCCCGGGGATGTGCCAATGCCTGGACTGTACTGAGGGTGTCCTCCCCACAAGTAGTCATAGCCCATGCTGCTCTGGTGGCGGCCGCTCATGTGTGGATATGGAGCTGACGACGGTGGGTGGGAACCAGGTACACTCGACCCAAGTACAGTAGTGACGCCATTCACATTCATTTCGCCATTTGTATCTGTTAAATTCAAGGACAGAGTATATATTAGAAAAGGCCTGCACTGGTAAAACTCTTTTGTTGCTAAACTAGGTTATACTATCACCGTATGGTTTGGGGGAAACAGTATCCTTATGACAATATGAACAACTAGGGAGCACTCACTAAGTGACTTTCATAGCTGTAGTGAAAGAAAACCTAAAGATATAAAGCAGAATAGGAAAACATCCTAAACAGTCTGGTTAAAAAAATGAGAATAGAAATGAGCAAAGACTTAAAGAGACCACAGTGCTGCAACAAGCATCTTCTTCTTTCAGCTGTTCCCTCTTCAGGCGTCACCACAGCAAGTTCTCCTCCATCTCATTCTGCATCCATATATCTCCTCTGTCTTTTTCCTGGCAGCTGCATTTCTAACATCCTTCTACCAGTATACCCACTGTCCCTCCTCTGGACATGTCCAAACCATCTCAGTCTGGTCTCTCTAACTTTATCTCCCAGTTGTTCAACCTGTGCTGTACCTCTGATGATCTCATTCCTAATCTTATCCATCCCTCTCAATCCTAAGAACCACCTCAACATCTTCATTTCTACCACTTCCAGTTCTTTCTCCGGTCTTTACGTCAGTGCCACTGTCTCCAAATCATACAACACAGCTGGTCTCGCCACCGTCTTGTAAACATTTATTTTGACCTTTGCCGCCACCCTTTTGTCACAAATCTGCAGCTCCGAACTAAAACCATTAATTATGAAAAAAAAAAAAAAGTGCATTAGGTAATTTCTCTAAAGCGACTTATTGCATACACACTATTAGTATAAGGTATTACATGCATCTTTGTTGTCAAGGCTGCAGCTCTGCATCCATCCATCACTCGTCAGCACAGCTGAAGGACAGAAATACTCACTCTTCCCCTGCTGAGGAAAACTCATGGAGGACCCGTTAGTGTAAAGAGAATCCCCTGAGGACAGTTTCAATCCTGAGTTTGGTGAGGAGTGGGTGCCATAGTTGAAATGATTATTGGAGTCCATCTGAAGGGGACAGACAAAACACAAAATTAAGAACTCCGCAGCCGGATTATAATCCCCCATCAAGATGGTGCAACAATCGAGAAAAGCCCGATCAGAAAATGAACCACCAACACTTTAATTAATTTACATCGTGAAGACAGACGGGTGCCATTTCCTCGAGCAGTCTTTGCACGGAGTGTTTTGGGCGGCTGCAGCGTGTAAACACCGCCACATCCTCCAACAACCGTCAAAATGTCGCAGCAGCGGATCAGGCCGCAGCGAGCTAATGGACCGGCGGGACGTACGGTGGGAGCTCATCATGACGGCGGATAAAGAGCCGCTCATTGCAGCGCAGCCTCCACGGTTCAGCGTAGCATTATTAGTAGCAGCTAACTGGGAGCACAGCTAGTAATGGAGAGATGGATGGGAATAAATAACACCCACAAAGACCCGAGAGGTGTTTCTGTTCCCGGTAGTCCTCCGGGATACTTGATTTCCTAATTCGACAAGGCCGTCGCGACGGCAGCCGCGTTAGCTTAGAGGCGCTAGCAGTGCCCCTAAATGAACCGAGCATCCCTGGCAGACGGCTGGGCTGACGACGGGCTTTTATTACCGTGAGTTACGAGCTCAGAACAAGAAAGAGATCCCCCTTGACTCGTCGGCGTGAAAACAGCGAGCGGAACGCGTTTCCGCTGCAGCTCCAAGGTTATTTAGCTGGAACATCACAAAAGAACCTGGCTAACGAGCGCAAGCTATGAAGCTAACTAATAGCATCCATAACGTTGATCCGGAGTAAGTAGGCTGCGATGCTAGCCGTGTAGCCCGGTAGCAGGTACCGTCAGCACGCTGGTTCGGACCCATGTTGCAAATAAGAAACGTAAGAACCGAGTGAATGAGAACTAGCAGCCGGTTCGTCCGCAGGCTCTAACGTGAACGCGCTAACAAAGTAGAAACGAAGCCGCTCTCCCTTTTGTTCACGGGCTAACCGTTAGCTAGCAGCCAGATGAAGTTGGTGTTTATGCTGTAATTTCTGCAGAGCATCATCCTCCCACACCGCCACCATCCAAAGTTTTACTCGAATTTCACTCAAAGCAGCCCAACCTTTCGAAAGTCCTTGGGGTTCCGAAGGCGCGGACGACTTTAGACCTCCGTCTTAACGGGTGTGCGGGCGAAGATGACACAGCGATAAATAATAAACAACTACTTGCCCTAACCTTTGGGTTTTAAATTAGCAAACATGGCTGGTGAGGTCCGGTGTAGCCATGATCACAGAACAGAGCGAGCCGGAGGAGCGTCAAGCTCCAAACGATAAGCACACACATCCGGTGGAAGCTTCAAAACACCATTTTAACAACTGCCGCGACTAAACTTTACTGTAGTAACAAGGCGCGCGTTAAAAGATCACTTCCGGTTAGTTTTACATTTCAGCTATTACAACCTTATTACGGTAAACTTCAATTTTACTACCGTTTTGTAAGTTTTACTTTGCTTTCAGAAGAAAAGCCAAATGACAAGCATTAAACACAACTTTATTTAAACCACATAAAGTTATCTAACAAGGTTAAGTCAGGTCATCTGGACGGATTGACCGGATTTAACCTTCTTAGATTTTTCTACCTGATTACTGAGCATGCATTAGGACACGAAGTTAAATTATGAGGCGAACGCTTTTATGTGCCGGGTGTAAACAGGAAGTTCCAGACGCATTGACGGGAGCTTCTCGTGATGACGGGGAGGAAACCAGGCCTGAAGAGGAAGTGTGCCGCTTCTGGGCCCAAAACCTCAAGGTTTATGGGTCCTAGCGCCGGAAAGTTTAAGTCAACAAACAATATAGTGACAACAACAAAGTCCATGCTCAATAATCCGGGTATACGATCCAACATTTATAGTGATTTTTAATGAGTGCAAGTCATGTTCAGCTGAGGGAACAGATGAAATGAAACTTTAGTACCATCTAAGTACAAAGAAAAAGGTATTTGGACTTAGAAGTCATAATTTCGATACCTCAACTGAGCTGTGTGACAACTTCTTACATTTCTTTTTGGAAAAAATTGCGACCACCCGGGCTCTCATTTCCCCTCCAACTCATGACCCATCCATCCCACCTCAACCTGTAGCTCCTTTTGACCATTTTGAACCCATCACTCTATCTTCTCTAGAGCAGGTCATGTGCAGCTTGAAACCTTCTGGTTCCCCCTTTGATGTGGTCCCCCCTCGACTACTAAAGGAGGTTTTTCCCACTCTAGGTCTGTCCATTCTTGATATAGTAAACAGTAGTTTATCCACTGGCGTGGTGCCAAAAACCTTTAAATATGCTGCTGTCCAGCCTCTCCTGAAAAAACCAAACCTTGACCCCTCCGTCGTTTCCAACATCCGGCCTGTCTCCAAACTCCCATTTGTTTCTAAAGTACTGGAGAAAATAGTCGAGTCCCAGTTGAAGTGCTTCCTGGAGCATCTTAGAGCTTTTCCAATCTGGCTTTAAACCTCTCCACAGCACTGAAACTGCCCTGCTGAAGGTCTTTAACATCTTCAGATTCACAGATACTGGTGATTCTGTGCTGCTCGTCCTATATGACCTCACAGCTGCCTTTGACACCATCGACCATGAGATCCTCATTGCTAGGTTGGAGCAGTGGGTGGGCGTCACAGGATCATCCCTCAATTGGTTCAGATCCTACCTAGCTGATAGATCCTTTTGTGATCTCCATCAAGGATTTTAGTTCCGCAGAGGCAGAGCTTAAATGGGGGGTTCCGCAGGGGTCCATCCTGGGTCCCCTCCTATTCTCTTTATACCTGCTGCCGCTTGGTGCTATTTTCCGGAAACACAACATGCCCTTCCACTTCTATGCCGATGACTGTCAAATTTACTTCCCACTAAGACAAAATGGTACATGCTCTATTCAACCTCTGCTTGACTGCCTGGCTGACATCAGGGACTGGATGGCTTTAAATTTCTTAAGTTTCAATGAAAAGAAGTCTGAAGTCATGTTGTTCCCTCCCAATGACACGATCACAAACCACTGCATCGACCTCTCTGCTCTAACCCTGTCATAAAAACAAAGAGTCATTAATCTGGGCGTGATAATGGACCCTTCCCTGAAACTTAACAGTCATGTAAACATGATTGTTAAATCATGCTTCTTCCAACTGAGGCGGCTCTAAACTGAAGCCCATATTGTCCAAAAATAACCTGGAGACAGTAATACATGCATTCATTACATCTAGGCTTGATTACTGCAATTCGCACCTGTTTGGTATCAGTCAGACCTCCATAGCACGACTACAACTGGTCCAGAATGCAGCAGCCCGATTTTTAACCAGTACAGGCAAAAGAGAGCACATTACACCAGTTTTGGCCTCACTGCACTGGTTACCGGTTCACTTTCGAATCCAGTTCAAAATACTCCTGTACTGTATGTCTAGAAATCACTGAACAGTGTCGCCCCCCCATCTCTCTGATCTGCTACAACCGTATGTCCCACCACGTTCCCCGAGGTCAGCGGACCAGTTGCTCCTCACAGTTCCAGGAACTCGTCTTAAGCGCAGGGGTGACAGGGCCTTCTCTGTAGCAGGACCAAGACTCTGGAACGAGTTACCTCTGCTCGTCAGACAGGCCCCCTCCCTCTCGGTTTTCAAGTCCCGTTTAAAAACTCACTACTATTCAGTAGCTTTCAACACCAGATGATCTGTGTTTTGATCCTGTATGCTCTACACTGGTTTGTCGTCATTATCTGCATCGTTTTTATGTCTATATTCTGATTTACCTCATTTTGTATGTTGCTTGGTGTGTTACCTGTTGTTTTGTCTGTACAGCACTTTGGTTGGCCTTGTTGCTGTTTTAAGTGCTCTATAAATAAAGTGGTATGGTATAATTTGCATCTGTGTAATATAATGCAAAGCTATATGATCATTACAGTATGCTGTGTATATTGGATATACAAAATACAGTACCTATAAAATTATACAAACTGTTGGATGTTTCATGTTTTATTGCTGCTAATAATCAATTATGGTCAATATGAACAACAGCTGTCTCAGTGAGGTTGCCAGATCAAATCTCAGCTGGGGGTCTTTCTGGGTGGTTTGTGTTCTCTCCGTGTATGTGGGTTTTCTCCAGTTTCCTCCCAGACCAAAAACACGCATGTTAGGCTGATTGGTAACTCTAAATTATTCCTAGGTGTGAGTGAGAGTCAATGGTTGTCTCTTTTGGCTCTTTATGTCCTTGTGATGGACCGAAGACCTTTCATGGGCCCACCTCTGCAATGACCAGGGGCGGACTGGGACAATAATCCAGGCCGGGAATTTTGATACCATCCCAGGCCACCACCACCTGATTAACGCAAACCACCAAGACTGAGTTCAATTGAGCGCACTTTGAATGCATGTTGTTTGCACACGTCTAAAAAGCCATCCATAATTTCCCATCTATTCATTTTCACTTATTGACTATTTATATGTATTGGCTATTCATATAACAAAAAAAAAGTTCTTAATCTCAACGGAACTTTACCTGGTAAAATAAAGTTTAAATAAAATATTGTAATACAAGGATTTTAATATTCAGATAATTTATTGGAGTAATGAAGGGTATACACAAAATATCCTCAATAATCCAGGTAGAAAATCTAAAAAAGTTAAGTCAGGTCCTCTGGACAGATTAAAAAAAAAAACAACTTGTTGAAACGTTTAGTCTTTAATCCAAAAGACTGTCAGTTTGAGAAGCTGCAACAAACTTAGTTTCAAATAGTCTCTTTTCATAGTGGATCAACCAGTTTGTTGCTGACATCCAGAACTAGCTGTTAACATGATAAAGGAGGACCATCATCAGCCTAACAATGGATCGTTAGTGCTCTAGGCTGTTTGCTATTCACAGGGGGCTGAGAGATACCAGCAATAACAGCATTGTAAGAGGGCTACAGTTGGACACAGAGGCCTCTGTCCCTGTTTAATGATGGATGAGTTCTCATCACAAAGATGGCTTCCTTTACTCCTCTCTCAAACCAACACTTCTCTCTATCAAGGATGAGCACATCTTCATCCCTGAAAGTGACTGCTGGCCTGCAGATGAGTGTAAACCACAGAGTTCTCCTGGCCTGATGATGTTGCTCTTTGGCCCAGCACAGAAGAGCAACATCTTCAGGCCAAGACTCGGCAGTTTACACTCATCTGCAGGCCAGCAGTCACTTTCAGGGATGAAGATGTGCACATCCTTGATAGAGAGGAACTATGGTTTGAGAGAGGAGTAAAGGAAGCCATCTTTGTGAAAAGAAACCATTGTTAGGGGTTGTTAGGCTGCAGGTCTTCCTTATGTTAACAGCTAGTTCTGGATGTTAACAACAAACTGGTTGATCCACTATGAGAAGAGGCTATTTGAAACTGAGCTTGTTGCAACTCCTCAGACTGAACTTAGTTTTTTGGATTAAAGACAAAAGTTTCAACAAGTTTTTTTTTATTTGTCCAGAGGACCTGACTTAACTTTTTTAGATACAAAAAAATCTGAATTCCTAGACATTTCAACATTAAACTTTTTTCAGATCCTAACCCATATTATAAAATTTGCAATATTCTTTGTAAAAACTTAAAAACATTTGTTATATTAAGTCAGTTTTGGCCCACTTAGGTCCCTCAAAGTGAAGCTAGCATGTGGATATTAAGCTGTGCTGATAAACTGTGCCAGAGTTCAATTTTTTCAACACAAGTGTTTCTCTTACCTGCTCCATTACGAACAAACATTAATTTATAGCACTTAGCAGCATCCGCGGCCAGAGCTTTTCTCTTTTTTATCCTCTCTCTCTCTGCTCCACCTTTCCTCTTCTTTGGCTCTGAGATGCACGCACCGCGCGCCAACACCATCGGGAGCGCGAGTCCTAGGGCGGGGAGGGGGGCGGGCGCAATGTGTGTGTGTGTGTGTCTCTGCTCTGTGAGTGACACACAGAAAAGGAAGGGAGGGGGCCGGCCCGGCCGGGGGATGTGCCAGGCTTTCTCCGTCGCTGCAGTGCAGCGTGAGACCTGAGCCCAGGCAAAAGTGAATTGTTTATTTAAAATAATAAAGTCCGTGCGACCCGAACCGAGCCTTTAGTCCCGTTCCTCGGCAACCAGGCCACCGGGAATTGTCCCGACGCTCCCGATGGCCAGTCCGCCTCTGGCAATGACTGCTGGATATGGCACCAGGGACCCCCGTGACCCAAAAAGTAAGAAGCGGGTAAAAGTAACGATAGATGTGATTTCAAAGTTAAATCAAATTTCTAGTCAGGTAAATACAAATATGTTGTAAAATAAAAAATTTTATATGTATTGTCCACAACTGTCTTAATTTTACTGAAATTAGGAAAAATAAAAAGTTCAAGTCAGGAGCAGTCGCTGTGCCAGAGGGAGTAAACAAGTATTCATAGCTGATCTGTTTATGGGTTTTAAGCATTTGTAAAAATTCTTGGGATGCACGATGTTATCGGCATGGTATTGGTATCTGCTGATATTAACGTTAAAGTTCGATATCGGACATCAGCCATTCCATTAAAATAACTCGCTGATGTAAAAGGCGCCGTTTTGGCCTGCAGCGCAACGCAACGACGTCACGTGTGCCTACCCGAGCTCACAGTGGAAAATTCAAAATGTCAGCAGTGTGGAAGTTTTATTTTTCGTTGGTGAGGATGTCGGATTCAGAAGATTTATGGACTACGTTGAGCCTCACTACATCGTCCCCAGTCGGATAATTTTCCGACGTAACGTTACCAGTTACAAGCCGTCCTTTCCGACATCATTGAGAAGCTAATAGCCGATAGCACGACTTGTTGGGTGAGTTTTACCAGACATGTGGACGTCGTGTTAGCCCCGTTAGCATTAGTCTTACGACACAATGGATAGACAAAATCTTTGAACTTAAAAAGTCTGTCCTTCATGCACAGGAGTGCAGAGGATCCCACAGTGCAGCTATAGGAACCTGGAACAAGCCTCCACAAGTGAGACAGCATCGCAGGTGACTAATGCTAATAAATAACATTTAACACCTTTAATTTAATATAAGTTAAAGTGCTATGCATATGGCTGTTACCGAATATACTTCACCAGATCTTACACAATTTTTGTAGCAAATAAGCCTAAATAAAAGGGCTATGTTTGACAAAGGAACGTATATAAAAGATCAGTATCAGCCAAATGTTTTAATATAATCGGACAGATATAGATTTAAGAAAATATAAAATTATAAATTTTAAACATTTTTCAGTACCTATAAAATCTTAATTCAGTAATTCATTACGTATCTGGACATGCATGATCTCCTGCAGTCATCAGGTGGTGCTGCAGCACCCCCCACACCCTTAATTCCTGCTCCTTGCTCCAATCATCTTCTGCACAAAACTTTCCACAGAAGATTAAAGTTTACAATCTAACCAGTTTATTCAAGGGGGGGGGGGGGGGAGAGGAGGAGGAAAAAAACAAAAGCATCGTAATGATTCTTAAACAGTTTATTAGAAAGATGTAGACAGTAAAAAAAAGAAATAATTTCCACTATAATAGAACATCACTCGTCTCCCTTTACAGTTTTGGTCATCACTGGTTGCAGTTTTGTTTCGACACTCCCTCACCTGCAAGGGACAAAAGATAAAACAAACCCAGGAGGATAGCAACAAACCACGTCATGTTGAGGCCACACCAAGTTTTGAGCCCCTCTGTAAGCTGAAACATTCACCTCTTCTGTGAAACGTGCATGTTAGGCAGGTATGAAGTGAGAGCTGATCAAATAGGTAATCAATTAGTACGGAAAAAAACCACTGAAAAGATGCAGAGAGATATGCAACGACGTCAGGCTTCAAATTTTACAGATTTTTACAAGGGAAACATGTAGACTGTAAAGTGAAGTTGTTGATACAGATCCCAAATATCTAATTTACAGCACATGGAAGGCTTTAGAGAAACCTCATCAACAAACGCATCTACCGTTTTAATTTTGACGCACTACACTCGTCGACCAACTTAAAAAAAACACATTAGGAAGAAGTGGGTCTGATCATTTTTAAACTACAATTAATTTGGAAACAGTAAATCTTTGCTCTCAACATATATTGCTCAGATGAGTACAAGTTTACAGCGCCCCCCCCAGCCCCAAGAAATAAAAAGGTGTGCTTGGTTGTAATATTTAACGTTAAAAACAAGATTCCTGAAAAGGTGCAGTACAGCAAATGGATGTGGAAATAGCTGCTCTGTACAATACCATGCAAATCAACCTTGAGTAGACGACTGGTCCAACAGTTTGGAGCGGAGGCTATGGATTTAAATATGGCTACGGACTCATATGTACAGCCGTTTGTCACTGCCTTCAGTTTCAACATATACATTTGTTAAAGATTCCTCTTGTCCCCCGTTGTTCCCCTTTCTTTAGAAGTCGACAGGTTTCTACTCCAAGTCTGGCATTTCTGAAGGAAAAAAAAAAAGAACGACATTTTTCAGTCACAAATTACAGCAGAACTAGTGTGTACAAAAGGCTCAGACTTACTTTCATCGTCACTATCTGCAGAGTCGTCCTAGAGTAAAAACAGGGAAGAGAAAAATGAGGTTGATCACCACTACACTCGACTGCCCAACATCTGATGATGACGTAACTCTGCTTAATGAGACTGCACTGATGACAGTAATGGTTTGAAAAGAAGTGATGAAAAGATTCTTACTTCATCTGCACCATCTAGATCACCCAGGTCGTCCTCTCCTCCCATGTTGTTCATCATCTGGAACATAAAAAAAGACAGCACATATTTTGTTAACAGAGTACTAAATGCTACAGATTCAAGAGACTTCCAGTCCAGTTCCTGCAAGTTCACAGCATACTTCAACGAGACAACTTACAGATTAAAGGCCAGCGTTTCTAAACGGTTTTGGTGACTGGGATGAGTAGATCTACATTCAGGGGGAAATGATCAACACTTAAAAGTAAATAATTGAGCTACTGGTGGCATCGCATCCCTCAAGACTGATGCCTCTGCTGTTCACAAACCTTAAAGCCCCCCGTATATTCCCACGTACGTCCATACGCAGAGGGGTACACGTACTGCAGAGGTACGAGCGTACCCCCCAGGGCATGTCCGTGCAAAGCTCAGTTTTTACGACCACGTACGCGGTGTCGCACAATAAACTGCCCAGCGACGCACTGTTTTGTATGTGACACCAATGTATTAAATTCCCCTTCTTCATCCCTGATATGGCTTTTTCTTTTGTTTTTTTGCCAAGAGGCAGTGATCTCTTCCTCCTCCGGTGATGCAATGACTGAAATGGAGACAAATGAAGGAATTTGTCACGAGCGAATTAAACTCAGGTCCAGCGTGGCTGCGGGAGGGTCTGGAGAGTTCCTGGTGGGCTGGTCTGATGTGTGGGCTGCAGAGCCAGCGCTCCCTGTTTTATTTTTTAATTTTTAGATCTTTTTATTAACAACATATAAACACAGAACACCGCTGTGGCTGAGGCTGCCAGCGCTCGTTTTTTTGTTTTTCCCCAGACCTGTCAATCAATCCAGTAGGCGTGTCAGCAAATTACCAATCGGCGATCTCAATTTGTCCCCAAGGTAAACGCCCCTTGTCTGTGAAGCTGCTCTGCAGCTGCTCAGGGTGTACGCTGGAGTCTGAACCCTCTGCGTACAGTACACGAGTACGTACACGTGAATGGACGTACACGGGAGTATACTGGGGGCTTAACACTCAACAGAACAAGATCTGAGTACATAAGCGTATCCTGTCATGCAAGAGATTTGGACTTATCTAATCAGGTCTCTCTTGTAAATGAATCCCCGAGGCTCAATGGGATTAACCTGTATAAATAAAGGTTGAATGACTTATTCATACAACTTCATCGTACTTGCACCATTACAACTATTATGTTGTTGTTTACCATTTTCTTTTGGCCCTTGTAAACATATTTTCTTTATCACTTGTTGGTACTTTATTTTGTACCTTTGTGTTAAATTGTAAGTACCGTCTTTGTCTTTTGTCTCCCTGCGGTTTATATGCAGGAACATCTCATTTATGTATTTTTTTCCAAAATTTATATTTTTATATTTTATTTTGAAGGACTTCCTGTTGTCTGTAGCTTCCTGCCACTGACTAATATTTTCCTGACAGAGCTGGGTGCTGGTGGCTCACAGTATCCCACCCCTCATGGGGCAGGCGTTTGTGACACTAAGAGAATACCCTGAGGTAATCAGATGTACGACGACTCTTACTCATGGTTTCAAATACTCAACCATAACTCCACCCACTCTGTCATCATGTGACCAGAAGTCTAACCTGAATGACCAATGAGGTACTCTCAAGGACCATCCCTCAAAATAGATGTGAATTAATTTTTTCAGATAGTTCCTGTGTTGTTACCGGTTTTTGCGCTTCATGCACAGCTGCAGCCGTAAGCTGCATCAACGCGTGTCAATGGTCAGGATTGGAGACGCAAAAGCAGTCAAGTCTGGTAAATGTTTTGATAAAAGTTTTTAAATTCTTTGTGTGTGACACCTTTCTGTGTCGGTAAATTTGCGTTTAAATACTGGGATCTCATTTTAAAGCCACATCCAAACACGAAGTGGAGAAAGGAGTCCCCCCCCCCCCTTCAGTCCATGAGAGCTCAGCGGTGGATAAGTCATCAGATTTATTTTTAAAAGCAGTCAGTCAAGACTGGTACATATTTAAATAAGTTAAAAAACATCTTTGTGTACAGTAAATATGTTTAAATGCCAGTATCTCATTTAAACAGCGGAGGAGACAGACGGGGGGGGGG